TAGTGACAAAAAGGGGTTCGATTCAACTCCCTCGCTCCATTTTTTCTTTCTTAAAAGCAAATCAAAACGTTAAAAATTTGTTTTTGGATACATACCGGATGGCCCAAAAAAAACCGTCCTGTTTGACGCTTTATAAAACCCGCTCTGGATGATTTAGGTTCGTGGGGTTCTCTTATCACATTGCAAACACCACAAAATTTGTTTTATAAAGTTTCATGTACCTAGGTTGTCTGAATAAAAATCGACAGTCGTTCAAAGTGGAGTAATAACATGTACCTTTTCCGCGCCAGAGATGGATGGAGTTTCACCACTGCTTCAATTATTTCTCTTGCTTGACGCCACTAAGACTGCTTTTTACGCCATGTCCTTCTTGTAGTATTCTACACGTCGAAGAATAGTACTACCGTCGTACGTCGTAGCATCAGAATCGATACCACGCAGAATATTACGATGAGAACTGCATAAAAAGCAGCATGCTGGCAGATTGGCTGAACCATTCGACAAATCTTGATGGAGTACACAAAAGAAACTCTTCCACGGTAGACGCAAAACACGAGGTATCTGTACCGCAAATGAATCCAATCGAGAAGAGCATTCAATGAATTACTGGAAACGAATCCAACGTATCGATGTCGATTTAATGAGGATACTTCCACCGTGAATAGAGCGGCATTCAATGAATGCTGACCCCAATGTGAGTAGATAAACGGTGACCGCATCGAATCGATGTACATGCAACAAGGAAGCATAAAACGCGAACAGAGACGCATTCAATCCAGATCTAGTCGGCGTTGAATGAATGTTTTGCGCTGCCTGGGGAGCAATGGAGTGACTGTCACCGCTGCCCCAAGCCGCCGCCGTTTCGAAACGGCCTGGAGGTCTTTCGCGTTCGCATTCATCGCGCAAGAAGACGTGGGTTCCACGACTCCCGTTTCCTCGTTTTTTCACTTTTCACTTTTTAGTCGTGGGTATTTCTGTTGGGGTCTGCGTAGATTGCCCAGCTTCACCCGATCGACGAACTCTCTTCGGTGAGAGTATTGAGTAAAACTCCACGAAGCTCGGCATTTCATCGATTTCCTTCGATTACTATCAATATATATCTATATTAGTGGAACGGTCACAATTAATTTCGGTATTGCTACTACCCAAGACCTGACGGTTCTGCACGCCATTCTGCTCGAACATATGCTGATATTATTAATGTCAAAAGCTGATCAAAATGGCGTTCGGTTCAGAATACTTCCTTTGCCAGGATTATGAGACGTATTAGCGAATTAAATTCCCCATTCCCTAGTGGATTAAATGCAGATTAAATGCATTTTCACTCCGTGAAATAAGATTAGCATTATGCGCCCCTTTACGAAGCTGCAATAAGTGTTCGTTGTCGACGAAGCGAATGACGAGGCGACAAGGAATGCAATTCCTCGCTCGTGTTTGCACAGCGCAATTACAGGGATCTATTTGCTCTCGTCAGATCGAATCGGATCGTGTAAGCGAGGTCTAATTGCGATGATCTGAATGAATCCGCTCTTTCGGTACCTCGCTCGTCGTCGTATTCTCGTTTCCCACGAGAGAAAAACTGCGGAATCTCGACAGGCAAGAAGCCGTCGACGAGTGACGCCGTCGGATGACGTGGGGAGAGAGAAAGATGATCGCCGTCGGATGACGCGGGGAGAGAGAGAGACGTGCGAAGGGCCTTTTTCTGCTCTACGAGAATCGAGGAGAATCACGCATTTCCAATGTCAGACACTCAATGGGGTTACGGAAGAGCAGAAAAGACGGAATTCGCGTGTGAGGCGAATGGACTGAAACCACCGGGTTAGAACAAAGTTTGTCACCAAAATGATCAATTCTGGAAATTTAGCTGTAAAAGCCGCGAATTTTCCATTTTTGCTCCATGACAGTAGAAAATTGAAGTTTTTTTCGGAGTCACTTCCTCATTTTTAAAGTTTCGGTGCCACTTGTTCAGTGGAGTTCTTGAGAAAAAATTGGCCGAAATCAGTGAACGAGAGGGAAAAAAATGCAACTTTTAGTAGATGGCGCCATTTTGGTTGTGCAAAATGAACGAGCGACTCCAAAATAATACGCTCACTTTTCTGCTATCACCCTGCAAAGTTTCAACTTTGCGGCTTTTATAGGTAAAACTCCGTTTTTCTTGTAAGAAACTTTGTGCTCGTCATGTACAGTATAAAGTATGTGGAAAGCATTTTTTTAAAGGCTTGTACCTTTCTTCACCTAGCCCCTCTACGCGTTTAGTAGCTGTTTCCAGATCCTCCAAGAATGATTAAAAAATCACAATAACAATATATAATTACGAAATATTATACATCGGGACTTACGAGGCCGAGGTCTAATCCACAGACTGTATTGAGGTGAGATCTTTTTTCTCTCAAAGGAATCTCAATCCGCGATTTACGGACCAATAAGTCCCCTGCTGTGGATCCATCTCGGGGTTTTTCACACATTTGTCTCAAACTCATCTTTATTTTCTGGCCTCCAAAACTTTTCGCAACATTCCAAATGGGGTCTCACCAGCGCCGCACGCAACGGAAGGATGATCCCTTAATCTCTCCCCCACCGCTTATCGACGCCGAACTCGTGGAGAGATCCATAGCAGTTACGACCGATCTGAAGAAGTTTACGCTTTTATCGAACCTCACGACCCATTTCTCATCTCGTCCAAAAGTTATAAAAGTTCTCCCCGATGGAAAAACGAATTTTGGTGCCGTCGGGACATTTAGTAATTTTCCTCGCTGGGGTCGAAGTCGTCGATGCAGACCAGAAGGTCCTTTCACCTCACCCCGAGGGACATCGCTTGCAATTCCGACTTCCGTCGACACCTATTAACCCTTTCTCTGCCGTTCACGCCATATGGCGTGTTCAGCGCGACGAACTTCCACTGCCATGCTAGGCAAGAAGAGGTTGCCTGGGCATTTAAGTCCTAGGCAGTGAAAGGGTTAACCATCACTCGTCGCTCTCTTCCCGACGATATCGATGAGGGAAACAATTTTAGAGGAATCGAGAGGAATCTAAGAGGAGTTTAAACGGCGACGGATGCGGAGCGTGTCGCAACAACGCGAGGCAGTAAGCGTTGCGAGATCCTCGTTTTGAGAACACGTTGAACCTGCGAACTCCACCGCGTGTCGGCGTCTAGGTGTTCCCCCAGAAACTCAGAGGAATCGGCAAAAGAGACCGATATCTGACAGGATTCTCGAAATAGCATACACAATGGCTCGAAAAATCGTCTTGGCAGGGGTACTTTTTAAATTCATTTCGGGATATCTCCTGAGTCACTCGATGGTTTTCTTCAAAATTCACCCGTTTGTGTAGTATGTTTGTAGAAACGGGGGAAATTTAAATTTAAATTTAATTGAAGATATTAATAATCGAACTATAGCAATTTCACGGTCGTATGTCGAGTTAAAAAAAAAAAAAAAAAAAAAAAAAAAAAAAACATGAAGAGTAGGTGACGAAAAGTGTCCTTTTTGTTGCTTCTAGTGCACCATTTCTTCTTTAAAAAAAAAAAAAAAAAAAAAAAACATGAAGAAAACTGCCAAAATCATCAGCTGCCTTCCCTTTCGATATGTATGACAGCCATCGGCACGAATAACCTATGAATAACCCATGAATAACCCACCCCGCTGATGAAGGAACCTCACACCATGACTGATTCACCCCCATCATTCATCATTTGCTAATGAAAGCGATTGTCAACTTTTTTTTTTATCGGGCGCCTATTCGTATTTCATTTCTCTTTTGTCCTAACATAATATTTGAGCTTACGCTTTGTTCATAGCTGTAACATATATACGAGGGGAGTCGAAAAAGTTGCAATACGCCAATCTTAATCGTCTCGTGGGAAGCCAGATGACTTTGATGTTGACTGGGAAAATGAAGAGGCTTTGGTAGCGCCTATTACCCTTCTTCAACCCCTTTCAGCAACAAAATTCAACCTTCTCGTATTCCTTTCTGAGAGCATCAACACGAACGAAATTAGGCAGGTTTCTTCCTCTTTCGACACAGAATAGCTCAAGCAAATTTGAAGCTCCATCTCCCCGGGGTTGTGGAGAACACTGAATCTCGCTTTTGGAAGATGTGATTTCATTCCTTCCCCCCCCCCCCGAGTAGCCTCTCCTGAGAAGTTTTCCGAGAAAAGAAACCGACCAAACGAAAGATATTGACTTGTAGGTGACGAAAAGTGTCCTTTTTGTTGCTTCTAGTGCACCATTTCTTCTTTAAAAAAAAAAATGAAATTAGCTGTCGTTCATTTAGGCTTAGCGCGAAGGTTCCGGTCCCGTCCTCCAGTGTTGCCGGATATAATTGGCGAGGCGAGTGCTAACAAACATTCAGCATCCAAGGAAATCTAAACGACGCTTCTCCCCTTCCCCTTTATCAATTTTCCTGGACGAGGCCGAGGATTTTCATCGGAATCGATGCTGGAAAATACGTCAGTCCGTGCAGCCGCGTAGATCACCAACGGAATGAGTATCCATGTACTAATCGTGCTGGCATTTGTTCTTGTCTCCAGATAATGGGAGTCATCATGTTTTCTTATCTCCAGCAGTTAGCTCATGCTATTTCCACTGCCCGTCTATATCAAATTTGTTCCAAGTGTATATAAGGGAGGGAAGGGGGGGGGGGGGGTGGAAGAGATGAGAAAATCACATACTACTCCGAAAGAAAATTTCACGGAGAGTGGCGGTTTCGAGAGACTGGGCACAATTGATAGGTAAATACATTTAAAAAAAAAAAACCTTAGTTATTGCTCGTAGGTTTCCGTTCGGTTTCTGACCCTGAAGACTAGAGAGAGAAATAAAGATGGCCCAGATGCTACTCCTAGCGCAATCTGCGGGGAATTCCCTCCAAGCGTTCTCATTTCTCCCTCGCAGGAATCGGACGGTCGATATCCGCATTTTTTTCTCTGACGTCGAGAAACGGAGAGGAATGAAGTCATCGTCGGGAGAGATTTCACTCGAGTGCCCTCTGAGTCCGATTTCAACCGTGGTTTCCCATTTCGACTTTGGATCGTTCGAAACGAACGCATCGCAGTTCCAAGAGTCTGCGTCGACAAGCCCGTCTCGGTCGGACCCGAGTCTGACTGGTGCGACTGGGTTCCAACCGATCCGTACGTCTCGAGGCTCTCTTCGGTCGTGGGCGCTTTTGGCGAACACAAGGCAATATTTCTCTGGATTTCTTTTCTTTCGAAACTCGATATTCCTCGCCAAATTAGGCCCAAACAAGGACGATACGTCGCTCGTCTTCGCGATCGCGACGGAAAATGGGACGCCGTTCTCGAAATGCAAAAGGGATCTTGGAAGCATTTCGCGATGATTCGACGAAATTCATGGAGGTCGCAACCGAAACCGTTGCGTACCGTTCGGTAGGTCGAAGGAAATCGGAACGACAGAGGAATGATCCTCCCTTCATGACCCCAGAGGATCTCGAACGCACTTCACACAGCAAAGGACAGGGTGCCCAAAAATCAGTGTAGGGATTCGTCTGTCGAGCGACTTCTGACCTATCGGCGATATTATTTTACTCCTTTTTGTGGGTCGAAGAGTGGACCTTGGAATTTTACGTTGGACGGTCGAACGACATGCAGGAATCGTGGAGCTTTACTTTTCTAAGAGACGCTCCATTTTTTAAGCTCAGTGCGCCCACCATCGACGGTTTGATGCCCGTGAAGCACCTTCTCGACGTGTTATTCGTTAGTGTGTCGCACATTTTCGTGCCAATGGTGGTGTTGCCGATCGACCACGACCTGTAAGACCTCGTAGCAACCGAAGTTTGCAATACGTAGAGACTGTTCGCTAGGCTATTCCGGGATATCAGTCGTCTATCTCGGGAGTTGGGAATACCCAGAACATGACTGCATCGTACATTATCGGATGAATCATGCTTCCACCCGTATATAAATTTACGCAGCGCAGCGAGTTTGTTTGCCCGGAGGGCAAACACTGCACTGCAAACTGCAAACTCGCCGCAACGGAAATTTTACTCAGTAACATGGGGTCCCTCTACGACTTTGTACTGATCCTCCAAAATTTTGACTCCTTTGGGGGGGTCTGAAGTAGTGAATCGGCCAAATATGTACTAAATAAGGTACCCGGGGGTCCGAATTTTGAAACACCACCTAGCCTATGACCATCCCGGACCAAATGAGAAAGCTATGCTAAGTTTGGTCGGAGTGGGATCAGAGGCGTGGCCGTGCAAAAAGGACACACACACACACACAAACATTCGGAAATATAGTATAGATTATATGAAATTAAGCCGGTACAAGATCTGCACAGATGGATGGGGTTCCTCTCCTCGACGCATTGGTTTTCTTCAAACCTAAGTCCGGACGCACCGGACTTTAAGAGAAGCGATTTCTTTCCTGTCTTCTCATCGTGAGACTCATGGACCGATATTATAGTTCAAGTGTGACTATGACGTTTCGAGGGTAATCAACGTTTCCGGAAGATTTCAAATGCTGAGGTTTTGCACAAAAACAAAGAAATGCAGTTTGGAATTTGTTAACAGGTAGGATTCTCAAGGTGCTACAAGATACTAGAAAGAGAGGCAATCTCCAGCGTTTAGATGACGCTCACGCAACAATGCATTTATACCTGGATTACTAAAGAGGTTACCATCGACGAAGAACCGAGCACTTCTGTCGCGTTATGTCGGGGGCCGCGACTTCTTTCCACCTGAGACTGGATACACCTCAACGCCCATCGTCCCGTTCGGCGACGGTTCAGGCGCCCGAATGGGGCAATAGGCGTTCTGTCTGCATTAAAGCTAAAGTAAGGATACTCATTGCCGGAAAGTAAGGCCTTCAATTAATGAACTTCGATACTTCTGGAACGATACTTGATTTTTCCTCCCCAGACGACACCGGAGAAGGCATTGGAATCCCACGACGCATGTGATGAAGGAGGCAACCGGACCCGACGAGACTAAGGATGATTCTGAGCCCGAGAACAGAGAGAAGCAACTCACGCCGTGATCTAACTCCATGTCTCCCTCTCCCTCTTCCCCTCCCTTCTCCATGGCCCTCTCCCCCCTCTCCCCTTTCCCCCTTACCCTCCCTACTCCCATCACGAATAGTGGGAAGCATTCCAAGTGATTCCAAGCTCATCCCTGCGGGAGGATCTAAGGAGTGATATAGAGCCACCTCCTCATTGGCTGCAATCACCTCAATGTCCTCTTGCTTCCTTGGAACTCCTTCTATGTCCGCATGAAATCCACGACCACGACCATGACCACGAATAAATGTACCGAGATCGCACCGATACCACATTCACGGGGTACCGAGCACTCAATTGGAGCATGAATTCAAGATCTCAGCAACGTTGAGACCTGTCTCGTTTCAACATCCAGCCGTTGTAGATTCAGCCTTGAATCTTCAATACTTTTGCAACGTTGAGGCAATTTTGCTGTGCAGAGTTCCTTTAAAAAAAATTTTTTTTTATTATTTTTGAACATGAGAATTTCTTACTTCATATTCAGGTCACTACTTTCCTACAAGGAAAAGAATGCATGCATAGAGTACAGGATATGTCTCTTTTTGACTTGTTTGGAATAAGAGGCCGTGTGTTGGCATCCGGTCTCGAGTTGCCAGAAGAATGATTAAAACAACTATCTATCGCTTGTCCGTAACCCTAGATGGGCTTTTCTCTAGTCTTATTGCCGATCATTCTTTAAATTAGGGCCGAATCAGATGAGAATAGGGCAAGAGCTCTAGCCCTTCTGCTAACTGACTCTCTCTCATGGTATCGAATGGGATTTATAAGCAAGCGTCACACCTAATTCGAGGGCCGTATCTCTCGCGCCGATCGCGGAAGGAATTTGGAGTTTTCGGCACTCTGGCACTTTTCAGACCTGCGATAAGCGACGGTGAACTTGCCGAGTTTTCGCAATTCCCAGACTCTAGCGACCTCTACAAAGAACGCTCAACATTTTCTGCTTCTGGAGAGGCTCATGTGCGAATACCACTGTACGAAACCGGCTCCTTCCATGATGAAGACAGGAGAGAATAGGTGAATAACGTTTTGGAATTTTTGAGAAAAACAAATAAAAACTTAGGAAATGACAAGTACCTGAAAAATACCAATAAACGTGCCATTGATTAAATAGCGCGATTTCACAGTCTCCTCTCTCCAATAAAAAAAGTTCCATCAAAATAGGACGGTAACATTAAAACATTAAAGCGTAACGACTAATCTAAGTTTGAATGTTTTTTTCCGAAATTCGGTTCAACACCCAATTTAAAAAGAAATTGTGTCTTGAAAGACACACTCGTAGGAATACTACTCGTAGGAATCTGAAAGGTTGAACATGGGGTTTTTCGCCAGTGCCCTGAGCAAAAAACAGCAACAAAAAAAATTCGAGATATTAGTGCCACAACCCATTGGGTGAACGTTCCAAATGCGTTAACAGCGTCTACATGGGGTTTGCATGAAAAGACTCCTTCCGTTCCTGTCGAGTAGACACAAGAAGAGTACACATTTAAACCTATTTCGCTTCGGTACCGTTTCAGTGGACGTTTTACATACGTTACATACGTTCGTACGCGATATCGTACAATATACCGGACGGAGGTCAGTTTCTTTTTTTTCCCCTAAGGTAGATTCTTTCCCCCAACCCCCCCCCCCCCCTCCTCACTCCCCTTCTCCCCCCCCCCCCCCCCCTTAACTTCAGCTTTTCTCGTAGGTTTTAGTGAAACTCTCCATAAGTGGTCGGTCTTGTACATAGATAACGGAAACATAGTCCGTGATCGCAATACTCAATAGGCAAAATCCCCAAGGACGGGATTTGGATTTAATCCTGCACGGAGGAAGTGGGCCCATCAATTCGACAGATCCAACGGAAGCATGAACGCAAATTCGGTTCGTTCCCGTCCTCGATGTGAAAAGTCGAGATGGCTTTCAACAAGTCATCGGAAACGGATTAGGCACTCTCGCCGATGCGACGAAAGACCTCAGCCCACCCAAATGAGAAATCGTTCGCTGCACAGATCTCCGCCGTTTGCTGCAAGTGACTTTTACTGTAGCTGCCAGTAGAAGCATAAACGCCATGCGATTTCGTAGGCCTACTTTTCTTATTTTGTATATTTGCATACCTTTTTGTATATTTTAAACTGGAATTTGCAGCTGCTTCAAGCACTCATTGTAGGCGCAGAGGTACTTATTCCCCCTAGAATTCTATTTCTGAGGCTCAATTATATCGGCTTCCCAACGTCTAAATAGCTTTCATGATACTTAGATTGGATGTAATTCACCATTGGCAGGGGCAATGTCTCTTTTCCTTCAAGCATGCTTCACGTTTCCGATAGCACCGTTCGAAATCCCCAGATAACCATCCATAATTACCACTAACTTTGTAAGAGGTGGAAATCCTCCGGAAACGATCGCCACCGAATCCGCGATGAAATTCTATTTTTTATTGTGTGTGCAATGTAAGCGAGATGGCATTCGGCAGATGAAATGGACGAGCAGAGTTGTTCTGTGTTTCATGCCTATTTTTTTTTTCCTTGCAACTCACTCCGTGGATGCGTCGCATTCCGCTGTTCTTTCGATCGTAAAGGTCGTAACATTTGCTCGTTCGTGGCAACATCCATGGCAAGAATGTTGCCGCGTATGCCATGTTTCGTACCAAAGGTGTGTAATACTTGTCTCTTTTTCCGTGAGCAAGACCAGATGATACACAGTGACGACATAAACTGTCCTGATGCTCCCTACTTTCGACTTCGTGCTGCCGTAACTCTCCAACAAGACAAGATATCTGAAACTCGATACGTTCTCCTGATAGCAATCGTTCTCCTCGATTGTTTGACACAAACTGCAAGTCGGTTGGTTTCCTATATCCAGAATGATAGAAGATTTAATCGACCTCGCCCATTAGGACGGTTTCTGACTTTTAATTTTCTCATCTCATATATTGTACTCATACTTTCCGTTAGTCTTTGGGGCTGGCACAACTCTTCTTGGCATGCATTCGATCAGCTTGACACATTCTGATGGGATTAAGATCGGACCATTGCTGGGGGCTATCTGCGAGTTTCGTGGTCTCGTTTAAGAACCACTTGCAAGGCCATTTCGCTGCGTGCCTCGAATGATTCGGCACAGGGTTGCCATATCCCTCGACCGTCGTACATCCCCAAACCACGAGAGGTCTACCACCACGTTCGAAGGTGGGTCGGACATGCAAAAGTGTTCTGGGAGCTTCAGGTAGTTTCTCGTGTCATTTTCGTCGATCGGTTCCACATCGGTTAAATTTTGCTCTCGTCTAACCAAATGACGCGTTTCGTACGGTCTTCCGTGAAGCCGTAGCATTCGAAAGCAACATCGAGTCGAGCTTTCGTGTATGTCTTGGCGAAAGCACGCGTTCTCGACCTTGGATGCAGCCTTGAAACCATCCTCGCGAAGCAATTTCTTCAAGAATCGGGAGCTATCATCAGTCTTCAGTTGTCAGCTTTCGGCGCCTCGCTGCAGCTGTAACCACCTCACCGGGGATAACTCGTCCTGCAATAAGGTACTACTGGCACGGTGAAAGCTCGGTTGAACGACCCAACTTTGACCTTACAGCATTTTCATGTTCAATTTTTTGGTAACCAGAAACGGGATTTCAGCAAATATGGAGCGTGACGGTGATTTGACACGTCGAACAGTCGTCTTCAGAAAGCTTCACGATTTGAAAAATTGTTGCAGATGAGCTTTACGCTTACTGCGATGAAGTACAATGGATGGTAAGTCTCCTAAAACGTTTATAAATCGACAACCGATCCTGTTAAATGACACCACATGTGATTTCTATCCGGACTATTTCTATTATCTATTTCTATACATGGGGCCGATCGATTCATCTATCTAGGAGTGAGACACAAATTAATTTAGAATAGGAAAAAAGACAGAAACTGTCCTTATGAGTGAGTTTGATTCACTCTCCTATTGCTATCAGGAGAGGATATTGAGTTCCACATACCGTATCTTGTTGGAGAGTTATGGCAGCACGAAGTCCAAAGTACAGTTACAGTTACAAGTACAGTCCAAAGTACATTAGGACAGCTTCTGTCGTCACTGCATGAGAAGACCTTAAACCTTACGTGAAATAGCGTCAGGATATCAAATGATGCCAAAGGAAAATAGAAGCAGGGATGTTCGTAAGTCCAACACGTATCGAAAGGACTAAACATGCAGTGGGCTAGCGAAATCTACGGGGGAAAGGAGGAAAAAATATCCCAAGGGGGGGAACATACGAGGGGTAGTCAATAAGTTCCAGGAACACCTTTGTAACTTTGAGATCCCTTTCCTGAGGGAAATGTTGGCAATAGCATTTGAAAGCCCATTCTTTAATGTGCGTTTGGTACAAATTATGAATTTTTTAAACATATCTTTCTCGTAAATATGACCTCTGGGAGTGACCTCTGGGAGTGAGAGTAATAAAAACTATTGGAAAATTTGCAATTTTCTGACCTTGAGAGTCGTGCATATATCAAAATACGATCACTGCTGAACTGTGCAGTTAAGGACATTCACGAAGACCTAATAATAGTCATGGGTGACGGTTATTTTTATAATTTCTTCATGAATATCCAGTTCAGCAGTGATCGTATAGTCTATTCAGCGGCAAAATACGCACTTGGCTGAGGACAAAATAGTTGATGGATGGGGCGGTGAGAGGCAAGGAGTCAAAGAGATATGTGTATATTTGGCCTCTGGTAAATCATCGGGGGCTAAAGGTTTTTGACAAACTTAAGTGTTGTCAAATAAAGGACAGCACCTTTCAGTCAGCTGAGAGATATCCCGCTTCACCCGATTGAACGAAAGAAAGTCGGGAACCCTGATTTTGAAGGAAAATCCCTCCATTCACCATGTCTCAGGTAAGGAGCATATTTAACCCTTATCTGGGCAAGGTATTTTTGTGACACAAACGGGCAAAGCCAAACATTTTTAGAATTTTTTCCTTAAAAGCAAATCCAAACTTTAAAAATTAGTTTTTGAATCCATGGATGACTGTCTATGAAACTCATATCAAATTTGAAGAATATTTTGAAAAAATTGCGGAGGATAATGAAATGAAATATACCCTGGGGGGTCCAATGGACCACCCTTGCCCGGGTAAGGGTTAATGACCAAGGCTCCCCCTTGACCTGTCACATCGAAGCCGCAAGTGTGTCTTTTGAAGTCAAAAAGACTATACTTGATGTATGTACGACTTTCAAGGTCAGAAAACTGCAAGTTTTCCCAGTGGTTTTTACATGGGTCACTCCCAGAGGTCATATCTACCAGAAATATATGTTTAAAAAATGCCCAATTAGTACCAAACGCACATTAAAGAATGGACTTTCAAATGCTATTACTAACATTTCCTTCAGGTTAGGGATCTCAAAGTTACATAGGTGTTCCTGGAACTTATTGACTGCCCCTCGTATCTACTGGTAAATTTCTTCTGCCGAAAAAAAAAACGTACTGGCTTAATTTTTCCTGGGGGGAATGTTTTCCTTGGGTAAAAATATCCCGGGACACCGACATGCTTGACAAAGGTCGAGCCGGGCCCAGGAATTTCCCGGGCCGAAACGCCTGAGGTGAAAAAAGGGGCCCGAGCCGAGTGTTTCGACTTGGCCCACCTTTTTCTTTTCCCGGGAAGTTCCCGGGAATCTCTTCTAGTCGAAACAAGGCCGAAGTGAAGTGGCAATTAATGACCCCGTATCAAAAATCGAATGCCTTTTTTATACCGCTTGCTCGGCGGAAATGAGGGCGGAAAAGAGTGGAAGAATAAAGGGGGGGGGGCGTGAATCCGTTTCAAGGATGTGTCAAGGGCACATACTACTCAAGATACATGCGTACTACCCTATCACATTAATATAAGTAGGACAAACATCTAGGACCATGAAAAACCTCATTCGCAGCCAGTTTTTGGTCTGGTGGCCAGTAACTGGGTGAAGTAGCATCGCCAACCCCAGGTATTGGTCACCCAGCAAACAAAACATCGCCATAATTAAAGAAAAATTAAGGGTGGATTTTTGAACAGAGAACTATCCGATAATGCAGCTTTATTTAAACCCACCCTAAGTATCTGAACTTGTCGTTAATTTAAAATGGAAATGAGAACATAGGAGAACTCACCTATAGTAAGAATATTAGGCAGTAAATGAGGCTGATGAAGTTGGGCGATTGCTTAGCGCAACCGTTAAGGAAACATGCCGTTTACGCAAGCCTTCCGAAAAAAAAACGCTGAACTCCCATGGGGAATAGACACCCTATGTGCACATTGGAAAGAACGAGTAATAGGTCCTCGTATACAAAGATGTCGATAGGATGCGTGGAAACAGCCAGACGAACTAAACATGCTGAATTTGGGCCTCACTAACCAAGAACTGGAGACCGGCCAACAACTGGGGTGTTTACCCTACTGCATATTTCACTTCTCCGGGCGGTAACGTCGGCAACGTTTTCTGCGTCTCCCTCTGTACGGCACGGGGAGAAGATCGCATAATATGAAGGAAAAACCTGATGGCGTACGTCACGTGCGGTCCAATAAGGCTGTGGCGCGACTAACTCGTCGACGTGCATTTCGTGCAATAAATCTGGCAGGAACTCCGTTTTTTTTTTTCTTCTTTTCCTGCTCCTTCCGTATTCGCCAAACGGCAGGCACTCATGGTCCGCTCCACGTTCTTTCTCACCGTCATCTTTTCGCGGTCGACTCGCCTCGTAAGCGATCGGCGGAGGAATCGCGTCGGACGCAAGCTCCATTCCATCGCGACTCCTGTCTGCTCCGGCGATGACGCGGCCGACGCGGTCGACGCACTCCTCGCGGTCTGAGGCACGTGAGGCAGGGAATCCACGGATTCGTTTCCCTCTTCTCTCGAATGCATGACCCCGGTCGAATTGGCTTCCGGATGCGGGAGACGAAGCCATCCGCCACGAGAAGCCGACGAATGCCATTCGGTCCGCGAGCCGCCGCGGCAGCTCTCGACGATCGGGTGGCCGAACGCATGCGTATGGTCCCTTCGTAGGCGGAAGAAGCGGATCGACGCGGAATCCCTTCGGGTCTCCCGGTCTCCCGACGACGACCGCCGGACGCGCGCTCTGTTCTTCGCTTGTTTCGCGATCGCAGCTCGGATGTAGTAGTCTGCAGGCTTCAATAGGACCTTCACGAGGCCACAAAACTTTAGTGATCCTTCCCCTTACCCCACTTCCCTCCCCCATCTGCCCCGAATCGTGACAACGGAGCATCCCAAGTGCGATTCGGTCTTAAGGCATCGAGGCATGCAGCAGCACGCCTACCCAGAGGGGACCAACTAAATCGTGGACACGGCAAGCGCGCGGAGAAGCTAGGAAGAGTGAAGAAACAGTTGGGCCTCGAACCTACTGCAGACGAGAGGAAAAGTAACCGAAGCGATGGGCAACTGCGGTCCGACTTATCGAACCAGTCAAACTAGAACTGTGCCGTCTCAAAATCGGTCGGAGTCGGCCTTCTCTGGGATACGAATACCGAGGTACGGCATGAGTTTTCGCGACCGAGATCACCGAATCCAGGATTCCAAGGGAACGGAGAAAAAATTCAGTGACGTCCTCGGCGGGTTTCTTGTCTCCCTCGGGCAGACCAGACGTGGATTCCCCTCGATCCTCTGGAGTCGGGTGTCTGTCGGTTCTGCCGTAGGGAACTCGGGGTTTCGTGAACCCTCTCCTTTACGGCACAGACATCCGGCCTCGTGGCCTCGAAGATCCCATCCTTGCCATCGGAACCGTCCGTTCTGCGATCGAAATGGAATCGACCGGAACGAGGGTCCTCGCGCCTAGCCGTGCGCTTTTTTAATGATCACAAGTCCGATGGACACCGATGCAGACGGCGGGAGTGGAGAATAACTGATCCAGACGTGATCCATCTCTCCTTGGCGCCTTGGCGAACGACGAAAGCAGCGCCTGCATCCTCCAGGGCGTCCACCGACCGACTAGCCACCTCGTTGGACGGACGACTGCCTTTCAACCGCTTTCTCTTCTTCCTCGATCGGGCACGTAAAATAACTGTATCCCGGTATACCAGGATACGTGTAGGGCTCGACCAAGGTAGGTGGAGGATTCGATCTGGGTCCACCGTCAACAGAGCTCGGCGAGACGCGAAGCAGACGGGAGCACGCTCCGTCGCTACCACCCCGAGACTCCCCTCATCGTTTCGGCGGGAAGCGACTCGCGTCGTGTAAGTTCCACGAGAAGGACGCTTCCGATCGCGTGAAAGCGATCTCGCCACGTGTGAACGGCAGGGAGTCGATGCGGAACTGCACGAAGGCGTGTTGGAGCCCCCGGGACCGTGCAGATCGTGCAGGTTTTTCCCGGACTTGTGGAAGTGCAGGGGCTCGACTGGAGGTAACGCGCGAACGTCCTCAAACGTACAGTGTCCTTTCGAGGAGGACCACCGTTTTCGAAACCCGACGTATTTTGTAGACCTTTGAAAACGGCAAGTACTTCTACGAAAACCGAAACGTCTGCAGGTGAGAAACGAAAACGCAGAAGGTACAGCCGTCGATATCTCTCTCACCTCGGGACAAAACGTCGCGTCCGTCGGAAACGGAAACGCCTGGCGGATCGATGCCGACCGGCATCGATAGAGACCGACCGACGACTCTGTCGTCTATCGCTGAAAATAATTGGATTTTGAGGACGTCGAGGTTCTTGTCCGGGATCTCGTTCCGGGAAATTATGTTTTTTAGTGAGACTTCTTTCCCGAAAGGAAAGAGACCACTTATGGTCCTGTCCCGTCCTGTCCGTCCGCGTGTCACACTTTGGTTGTCCGACGATAACTTAAAAAAATATTGGCCTGATCAATACGAAAATTGGCAAGCGGATAGGTAGGAACAAGATACAGGCTGAGTTCGTTTTGTGACGAATTTGCACCAAAAGTGGCATTTTTGGCGCAAATTTTTTTTAATTTGGTCACGGAGGGGAAGGCATGAGTACAAGTGAGCCCTTCAGGTTCTGGACCACAATGCGCATGCGCGTACGATCCAGCCTTTGGGCGCGGCGCCGTCAGCAACTTGAGCTGTCCAGTTCCCTACCAACCTTCGTGGCGGATGGATCCAACCACGCACAGCCCTCCATCCTCCCACCACAGTTTCATGGGCACCGTTTGTCTATGTTTACCAAACATAAATGAGAAATGAGGTTTTTGATGGTCGAAGACCGGAAAGAGATGGCATTTTGTTCAATTAGGTGAAAAAATGAGGGTTTCCTTAACTGAAAGGAGGCCCACTACTGGACTGGGCTTGCCTAGCTTATTAGTGAAGTGAGCGAGGACTCGTTCTGCAAATATTGACGACAATTGGAAATAAGGTTTCCAGAATTTCCACCGCTAAAAGACCTTTAAATCTGTATTTGTAATTGGCACCCCCTCCCACGAGAAACCTACGTGCTTTTCTCGCTAAGAAAATTGTGGACAACTAAAAGTAACAGGTTCGCGGTTTCGAACATGGGGTCGTCTATGATGTCGTCCATGGCGTCTCGTTCATTGTCGATCTCATCCTTATCAAATGGGTAATTTGAAGCTTCGACATCGATTTCAACTTTCACAGGTTACCTGACGCTGAGGTCCCTTTAAATTCATCATCATTTTTATCGTACGCTATTTATCATCGTCTACAAGATAAGAAGTATATGTGAGGAAATTCCCAGAGGAGGCCTGCCTTCACGAGATCGTCGACGATGGCGATCGCGAACGCGTTCACCGAAGAAAAGACTCGACTTCGTGGGAATTTGGCCAAGTGAATGCCAACTTGTAACTTAAGTCCCTAGGAGATGGCACAAATGCTTCTCTAACTGGAATTAAAAGGGTCGACTGCAGACGCATCTGACTCACAATTCTTATAGTCCGCTGATACATATTTATGGTTACATATGGATCACTTCATCATCGAGTTCACTGCAGGCAAGATAAAGTTAATGATGGAAACCATTTTACTAAATGTTATAGAAGATGCAACGACGTCTCAACTGAAAAACCCAAACACGAATCGGCGTTGAAGACCGTTCATTTCAGCCTCGACGGTGAAGAGGTCCTTCATGAAGTGTATTAAATTAGATATGCTAAATGAAGAGTTTCCACGTGGGAAGCACGGTCGTGAAACTCGACCACGAGAGCTCGTTCGAGACTCACTCTGAGAGGATAGTCGTGTTCCAAATGCATGCGTCGACGGAACCGTGGGAAAGCGACCAGCGCAAAATCACGGAAGACCCGTGACACACGTACACTTCATCCTGCTCTTCTTTCCAAGACAAAACCTCATCTGCAAACATACAAGAATGAATGATGGTGTGATCGAGACGAGGACGCCTTGGCAGACCGGCTGTCGTCCGCTTGTCCGCTCACCGGAGAGAACCGAGCCCAGCTCGATCGCGAAAACGATCCAAACGATCATGCGATGGAACTGCATCTCGAACCAGAATGTAAATGTGAAAGGAATCCAGGGACCTGCATTTCATGCCCTTCCCAGGTTTATGACCTTCTGATAAGATTTCTTTCTCTGTTTTTGTTTTACGACACCCCTAATCCTGGTGGCTATCTCCAACTCCGCTGTTTGTCGATCGATCAAATACGGTAGCTCTACGACGAAGAAAATGAACGCATCCAGAAGCCAGTCGTCGTATTGCATAGCTCCAAGTTTATTATTTCGCTACCATTGCCGCCGTCATCGAGAACAGAAACAAAATTCGACAGTCACGCGCATACGATAAACGAACGAGAAGCAAACAACTGGTCAGTCGATCGGTCCACGAAGTAAATATTTGAGCCACTGGAGAGTGTGAAAGCCCACAAGATATGAGTCCTTCGCGACAGACCGAGAAACGAACCCTTTCAGCTACGCTTCGAACGTACCACATAATTCGCTGACTAGAGCAAGCCATGCAGACGAAGAACATTCACACGTGCCGCGGGGGCCTGTATAAGATATCATCACGTGCACACGACGAACATCAGTCGGTTATGAAAAATGGAAAAGATGAATAAATTCATACAACACTTTGTGAGATCAGACACAATGAGGTTGACGAAATCCTCCCCTGCGGAACATTTCTGTGGTATACCGTACGTATTGTATGAGGTACCACGTGCAGGGTACTGAATGGAAGAGTCCTCGTGGGTCATCGTTCGTATGTACTGCACGTGAAGCCACGTGACCACGTGAAGCGATCACATGGGAACGGGAGGAGGGGGGTTGGAGGTGGAGAAATTGGGTCGGGGAAATGGCCTGATGAGATACAGCTTCTCCCCCTTCTGGCTCGTGTAGATGGGAGCGCGCTGGTAGTGATCCACCAGTTGGTCCAGGTTCTGGAACTTTCTCTGTCCGATGCAGTACAGGTTCCCATCCACGTGGACACGAAAGTGCTTGTTCCGTCCCGGTGCCTTCAGCGACACCGAATAGTCTCCGACCTGTTCTCAAAGACACACAAAAAATGTCAGTCTACTCCAGTTTCACTCCACACGAAGGGCTCGAAGAAAAATGTTAAAATCGGTGCATCCAGAATTAGAGAACAATATGAGAGATGATTATCAGTATTGCACCACCTCCCAATAGAACCTTGTACACGTGAAAAAAAAAGTATACAACATTCTAGCAGGTTTCCCCCCCCCCCTCCCCCCTACGTGGAGTGCGAAAATTTGGGAAGAAAAATTACCATTTTAAGTTCAAAATTTTGTTTCAAAATTTAACTCTTGCCCAACGCACATCTCTGTTACAACTGCACATTAAAATATGCCCTGCCCTTGGGATTCTTTCATGCCCCCCCCCAAGATGTAAATTTTTTAATGGGAAGCCATAGGTATTCCAGTGCTTCAAAGTATACAACAGGGATCACTCTTCCCAGGGCACGAAAGCAGGGAAAGAAAGGATATGGCTGTTAATGGGAAGGGAGTAGGAAGAGACACTACTTGGCTAGACAGATGTAAAAATAAATAATAACACTGAATTGAGCTTACATTGGTCTCGGAGTCTCGAACGAGGAAGTCTCCATCTTGGCCGTATGTACCGAGAAGGGCATCACACTGAGCACGAGTGATCATCCCGTAATACCACTCCCGTCCGGCCAAGTGAGGCCTATCTCTCGTGTCTGGTGTCAGGTTCAACTGGGAGAGATTGTGAACTGCCTCGGTGACGGCCCCGTTGTGCGTGGTCTCCGGCACGGGCCCCGAGACGTTCGAGCTTCCGTCCGGGGGTCCGCGTCTCCTGACGGCGGCTTCGTAATGCCCGTGCCCGTCCCCGACTTCCTTCAGGTAGTTGCTGGGAACGAGGCCGACCTGGCCGGCTGCATTGCGAGCCTTGTACCACTCGGGATCCGATGCCGGTCGGTCGACGATCTCCAACTTCTCTCCTTTCCTGAATCCGAGTTCTTGGTCGTTGCGAGCCGTGAAACTGTAGAGGGCGAGAACGATGTCCAGCACATTCTCTGCTCTTGCATACGTATGAACAGATTCTTCCACTTCCTCTATCGTGTAGTTGCTCGGAAACCAGCCCATCTACAAATTCAAAGGGACATCTTCAGTTTGGAATTGAATACGAGTGGAAAATTTAATTTCCCTCATCCTCCAGCAAATGGGGATATTCCGGGATTGATCCCCGTGAATTCATCTGTGCATTCCTGCACAAATATATCTCAGCCAGCACTGAACATATTGACGATTCGTGATTCTTCACAGCAAAAGCTTACATTTGAAAGGTCATGAAATTTTAACAGGAAGCTATGGTATAAGAATGGTTCCAACAGTAGTGACCCTGACTATGAGGTAAGGGATCCAGGTTCAAAATGAAGGAAACAAAAATTTATTTTCAAGTTTCCCAGTTCATTGAGGGAGACCCTGAAACATGTGGCACTCCCACCTCCATGTGAGGGGGGACATGAAAGAATCCCAAGGGCAGGGCATATTTTAATGTGCAGTTGTAACAGAGATGTGCGTTCTGAATTGGAATTTGTGCAGTTCAAAACCTGGGCAAGAGTTAAATTTTGAAACAAAATTTTGAACTTAAAATGGTAATTTTTCTTCCCAAATTTTCGCACTCCACGTAGGGGGGAGGGGGGGGGGGGGAAGGGGCGCTTAGCGCCATGCCAATCACTCCTACGGAGGGGTTATAATCATTTGTGCAGTTCTGATTTTTCCTTGCAATATGCCCTGCCCAAAGGAGAAGGCTGAACCTGAGTATATTCTTGGAAAAAATCATGGAGGCCAAAATGAATTCTCCCGGAGGGACTTGACATTACAGGTCATGGGAGGAGGGAGGGGGTGCATGCAGAGTGGGTCGAGTTGGAGTGCCGTAAGGACGGTCAGATGGATCAAAGTGCATTCTTGGGTACATAATCTTTTGAGAACCCATGACTTATCATGTGTCACTAGAGTGCAAAGCATAATTAAAAACCACAGAAAGTTAATGTAAAATTACACTCCTTGGCAGTAGTAGCTTGGTTTGGCATGTCTTAGTGCAGATTTGCATAATCCCACTGAAAGAATGGTGCACTAGTGTGCTCCTTCCTCAGAGTATGCCTTAGTTCCAGTCATAAAATTCCTTCAATTGCAACCATGAGGTCCCACACTAGACTAATTAAATCAAGTTTGGAATAGCTCAGCGAGGAATCAACCTGCAGATGCAGGCTGTTCAATTTCTTCTGCTTGTGGGCCTCTTTGTAGTGCAACAAGCCAAACATAAAACAGCATGAGATAAAAAGCAGTGTTTGGAGGCATCTGGTTAGTAAGGTTTCTGTTCTCTCTGTGCTGGAAGCATTGGACAGTCTCTACTGTATATCCTCACCAAGAAAACTGAGCAAATCTACAAGGTGCTCTGTGAGGAACTGAGGAATCTCACAGAGCCATCTCAATAACAATATGCATACTTTGCCCCTCTTTTCAATTTCCCTCCTTGCTTCCAGCATTGTCTCCACTGTTATACAAAAATTATAACGAATTTGAAGAAGAAATACCTTTCATTGACCCATCCAAGAATGGGTTAAGTAAATGTATGGCTGGCCAAGATAGACATCCCAAACATATGATGAATCTTTTTCACTCAGTCTCACTTTGAAAATCATGGAACTCAAATTAAGTATAATGGAATATGCTAAAAAGCAAAGATTTTAATCTTAAAAAGTGAAAGTAAGAAACTCTTAATGGTCTCATACCAGTTCTCAAGCATGTTATGATTTCATTATGTCTTTTCCTATTCTTCCAAGATGGAACATGTAAAGCAATTATTACAGGTGCACACTCCCCAAAAATGTTAACATAATTTTGATTATCTCTTTGAATTTGATTATCCTTTTCTATCTTACTTTTGCCTCCTCATTACTTTCTATCTCTTCCCCTTTGATCTGAACTTCATGAGAGGCATCGAAAAACTATTTTCTTTTGAATTTGAAGGCTAGCAATTAATCAACTTGTGCCGAGCAGAATCACATTTAATTGGCATGGCACAAGAGTAGGAAGGCAAACAGGACCAGTAAAATATATCACATACTTGATTCCCATATTGCCCTTTCCACCAGCCATCATTGGACTTCTCCAAGATGAGAATTCGGGTTCCCTTCGTGAGTGGAAGTTCATCAGGTTGCTGGGCAGTATAGTTGTACTTGACTATGGCATACCCGATCCCTTCTCGAGGATCGATTGGAGGGACCGGCCTCCTCACTGGCGAAGGAGAAGGCGAAGGAACATCATGGGATGGTGAAGCAGAAGATGATGATGGAAGTGTTTTTGATCCCGCCGATGAGCCGCTCTTCTTAACTCGCTTTTTAATGCTAAATATGGAGATAGAAAAAGTCATAATTGGATTTCAGACATTAATGTTGACATAAGACTCATATATATTAGTTTAATATTTGGAGTATACCTAAGCCATTACCCGTCTAAACTGCATATTAAAGATGTTACCAACAATCCATCAGGCCGGGTAAAAACATGATAATTGTCCTTTCGGTTTAATCGGAAAACCGATGTGACTAGCCCACCATTAAAGCAATATCAAAGGTTAAACGTCGCTTTTTAGTAGTGCTTGAACCAACAATAGATAGGCGCATGGACTGCTTTGGAATAAAAAGCCAAGAATTCAAGGACAAAAGCCTTCCGTTTTCAAAAAGTATTTTTAATTCTCCGACAATGGCGCAGTTGGCCTGATGGTGAACAAAGGCGGTGGGGATGCCTAAAGGAACGGAAAACCACGGGAGAGATGCACCGCGAGGTATGTGTGCGAAAGCTACTTCCGTTCGCTGATAACGGTCGAGTCCAGCACCAGGTGTGTGAATGCGCGATCGTCTCCGAGGGAAATTTCACGATGATCCGGCACGAATTTCAAATTAGGTCAAGCGAGCAAAAATGCACCCTGCATTAATCCACCTCGGTCTCGCCTCGTGCATCTCTACTTCTTTCTAATCACCGCTTCAATGCTCAATGTTCACCTTTCCTGTATCCCTTTAAGTCAATAAACACTCCCTTAGCTGCCACCTGCGCGTCTCCAATCCTCAGACGATCCTCTACTTCGTATCAGTATTATTCTAGTGTAGGGCAAGTGTGCATTTTTGTTGCTCCGACTAGGCCTGAATGCTGGAATCTCATTTTAGCAAGATAAAAGGTCCATTATTCCGCATAGGAATCCAGAGTTCCTTAACCCATTGGGTCCTAATAACGAGCCTGACTCGCGGCCGTAGCGAAGTGCCGAACAGCTACATCACGGATGTGGAGTGGCATTTAAAGAAGGACTGAAGGTGTTAATGGGCGGTTAGCTAAAGGAGGTTTCCAGCATTCAAGTCTAATTCTTTTGTCTTTATATGGCATGGAGGGGGGGGGGGGGGGGGGGGGGGGGTATAAATCAACTGCAGCTCTCCTCAACATATACATTCTGAGGATTCTGGTTCAGGCACAAGAGGAAATGCTATGCCAACTTTCAATCAGAGATGGTCTCCCCATGCACCTGCTTCACTCCTTTATGCCTGATTCGACTTCCAATTATAAAAAATTAAATATAGAGGCTTACCTTCTTCCAATCTTCTTTCTTTTCCAAAAGATATGTATATTAGGCAACAACAGGGATGTCAAAATCGATTTGGCCCAGGGCCAGATGGGTTGGTGCAGGGATGGTTGGGGGATCACACAAACTAATCTCACACCACATTTTTAATGCAAGAAAGTTGAAATTTGCAGTAATTTTCTGAATCCAGCCTGCAGGTCACCAATTTGACACCCCTGGGCTACAACATGCATGATCAATATGCCTTTCAGTCCAATGGGATAATAACACTGAACTCTGTGAGACATTCATCATAGTATTGGTAACATTGGACATCTCTTGATGAATATTGGTCTATTGGATATAGGTTAAATTTCATCATCTGTAACATCCCAGCTGCATATTTTGACCAGATGTATTCAGGAAAGAAACAAGTTTTCCTTACCCTGAGTATCCAATAAAAAAAAAGTGCCCAACCCAACTTTTGCACGACTGAGCATAAAATTAAGCAATGAGTATATCACAAGAATATTGATAGCAGAGAATTCAGCATCTCAAGCAATAACTTGTTGTCCAAACAACACTGGCATTGTTGGTCTCTTGTTCTTTCACCTCTTTTAGATTGATATTAAATCAAAACAAACTGGTCTCAAACAACCTATGTCTGTACATTTCAAAACTCACAATTAAAAAAATAGGTCATGGCTGGACCTGGTCTGCAGAGTGACAGATAATAGTGCAACCACTAAGGTCCAGCTGAGGAACTTCACTTCAGAAATTATGCAAAATAAAGCATACATGAAGTCCTGCCCATTCTCTATCCCCAGTATGTACACACCAAATAACACCCCAGGTTGCTAAATGCAAAAAAGTGGCTCAAGCTACAGCTGCTTCCCCACCTCATACACAGTCAACCTAACTGGTCCTTTTTCCCCCCTAATTATAGGCCTACAAAAGGAAGTTTCTCCCAAAACTCCTACTCTACTTCATGATTTATATGAAATGTAGGCTTAGGCTGGGCAACGAATTCAGAAGGCAAAAATTTGAAAGTTTTGTAATAGTTTACCTGCTAATGTTAATGACTACCATCAAGATTAGACCTACCTGTCAAAGTTTGCATGTGTGACCATTTGACCTTTAATCCATGCAAATTTTTAGCCACTTTTAGCGCACACCCAGGATAACATTGCTATAACCATGAGTATGCCTAGGCCTAGCCTAACCTACCACACAATACTCTATAAACTATTCACCTATCGAAGATGGAGGGTTTTTCTCGTTTCACGTAGTTACTGGGGACGTATCCGTTTTGTCCTCGAGCATTTTGCACTCTCCACCAGTGCTTAGAATCATCGAGGAGCAGAAGTCTCTCGTTTTTCTTGGCATCAAGTTCCTGACTTCCCTGAGCCACATAATCGTACTTGGCTATCACGTACGATTCTTCCGGCATGGGTATTCCTTTTCCTGCGGAAGATGCCGAAGAAAACAGATTAGGTCGGTATTCATAGCTTTTCAACAGCAATAAGAGCGAGTCACGGCTTGAAGCAATCAAGGGCCAGTTGCGACGCTCCGGATCAATCCAGAATCAAAATTCATGGGGTGCACTGTAGCCTAGGACTATCATAGATTGCCTTAAGGCGAAACGTAAATTACGGCTGTTTATGATATGCTTACTTGATTTCCGATTGATCTGGATCATTGTAACAGGTCCCTGGTGTTCATAAAACCTACCTATTTTGAGGCTGGACATGATGGATAGTTCATCATGAAGAAGTGGCACCGACTAACGCTGGAGGCTCATAGCCACCCGAAGCTTGAAAACCTAGGAGACAAGGGAGAATGCTAAAGGCACTGATGCGAGTCAGAGAAGGGACGCCGCCATCTTGTAATAATTACGTCACCATGGATCGAAGCCACTGCCCAGCTGCTTCCTCTCATAGAGAGAACTCCCTCCCCCCTGTCACGTGCTCCTCTGTGTTGCTCCTAAAGACAGAAGTCTCTTGGAAATTCTGAATCTTTTGCATGAAACAGGGTCGAGAAACTCGCCCCCTGTCGTGCCTTCCTGTGAGGTTTTGTTCTGTTTTTATCTGTCTCGACCCCACGAGACGTGTGTCGCTTGGATCTCTCCCAACTTACAAATATGCATTTTCCGCCAGCTGCCTCCTCTGAGACCAAGCCAATGGCTACTACTGAGAACTCGCGGAGTTCAACAACTCGAGGGAGCCTATATTAATCCGTTTTGAGGGCCCCGTACCTTAGATACATCGGAAAATAGCAAAAATGCATGTATTTTAAAATGTTATTTATAACACACCTGTCATCTGTCTGCTTATCATACAAGTTTTACAAGCCGTTACGGTATCGTTGAAAGCAGACGCCGGTGTGTAGTCCTACTTGTTCAAAGCAGCTGCAAATATGCAGACGTGATACAGCTGGATTTTGTAGGGCGAGAGAATTTGAAATTTTCATGACGCATACTGGTTTACGTTTATCAGAGGCGCGGGGAGTCATGACGCATCGGGGTGCGTCATGTGTAAACGGGTTACCTCCGCAACTGCGAGGCGAGTCAAATCACTCTGGCCGCTTTCTTTTTCTCCTCTCACCGCCTTGTCACATACTCATTTCTTTTATTGGCCAATGACGTCTTACTTTCTTTAAGGGGATTTTGCTTTCCCTTTGTCCTGATTTAACGTTTTCATTCATTTGTGCAAATATCCCGATCCAAAAAAAAAAAGAGTGGTCCAATCCAAGTTTCTCGAGTAATTATAGTCCTTGCTTCTCCGTTTTGTTGCTCAGCACTTAAGGCCCTAACCGCAAGGAATTCCTCATCGTTGGAAAGCTCTCATCTTCGATTCGGCATGAATACATGAAGACTTCCTAGTGTCTTGCCACAACAGTGAAGGAAAGTTGGATGTGCTTGTCCCATCTGCTGCCGCTCCATCGCTCACTTTCTTTTTAATACGCGATTGTGTGTATGTGTATTACGTCATTAAAAGTAATGCCGTACTACACATCTCCATAACTTCATTTTGACAAAAATCTTGAATGATCGGCAAAAACATGCAATCAAAGCTTTACTAACGAAAGCTCTCAAACGGTCGTGAAAGTCCTGTACACACCCATACGGATTCCTTTGCATATTTCTACACGTGGAATGAAAGTGGAGGGAAGGAAATCAGTGGGATCCGGCGTCCGGGGAGGAGCGATCGTGAGATTCGTGCGAGACGACGTCCAGATGAGAGAGATGCTTGGAATACCCCCGTCTCTCCAGGTCGATCCCGGTCCCCTCGCACTCCTGCTTCACCTTTTCGATGATGTCCAGGACGAATTTCTCTTCGTCGGGGATCTGGCGGTCGGGGGCGGGGACGGAGCGGTATACCGGGGGGATCCCGTGCTTCACGGCGCTGTGGTTGTCCAGTCCTCGCTTGCTCTTGAAGTACGCGGGACACGTGCCGCACCGATAGACCCGCAGTTCGTGGACGCGGTACTTGTGTCGGTACCAGTGCATGCGGGACGGGAGGTACTCCGTACACAGCTTGCAGGTCACGCTTCCATCCGGGTTCGTCTTGTAGTCCAGCAGGTTGGAACCAGAACCGTTGCTGGAATTCCCCCCGTAATCCATGTAGTCGTAGCCTTCCTCCATCCAGATCTCCGGTTCCATACACCACTCCCCTAAATTCAAGTCGCAACTCTGCATCAATAACAAGTATTCATTCCATTCGAACAAGCATGAACATGGCCATGCACACCGACTTCATCGAGTAGACTCCATTAACACCGCGTAATCGAAAGCAGCAAGGGCGTTTTACCGGTTACCAGGCATCGGCGATGACCAGAAAACAGCAGATGGTCCAACGAGAACCTGTACATTTCATCCCCTTAATCCTCATAATCCTTTATCCCCTTCTAATTCCTATATCTCCCTTTCTTTCCCTGGTTTGGGAAATATTAGGACCTCCCAGTTTTAGGAGCTCTTCGCTTTTGCTTGTCTTCGGGTTATGATTACCAGAAATTATTAAACTTTAATAGTAATCTTTAAAAATTTTCAAACAAGGCTGCCAGAGTTTCAAGCATGGGACACAAAGGAAGGGCATTCCATGATGAGACAAAAAAACAAAACACCTCTTTCAGAATAATAAAAAGATGTGAGAATTGTGAAGCACAATCATATGACAAGGGCTCACCCTCCTTACAAAAAAACCGACTTAAAAGAGCCAAGCTTTCAGTTCATTCCTAACCACCTCAGGGGCAACACAAGGAACCCATTATCACATGGGAGCTTACTGAAACAAGAAAAACTCGATAGGATTTCTGCCATTTTCCATCCTTACCTCATGAATCCCAAGCATATTTCCTGCATACAACTTTCTTTTGAAACAGTTGTACCATTTCACTTCTCCTAGCAAGGTATTGCCACAGCAGATATTGTCATAAAAAGGATTTATAGGAACAGCATCCTGTTGTTTAGCAAACACACAAACAATCTTGGCTCAGAAGTTGGCATTCATACCTTGTGTAAGTTTGGCTACCATTTCTACACCATACCTTATTGATTAAATATGAAATGCAGCTTCAAAGAATACATTATGAGAATTTCATTTTAAAAAAAAGCAAGAGCCAATACTTGATGTCTATAGTTACCAGGTTTTAGATTTTGGCTCACTATTGCTGTCCTAACAACTGTGCACCAGTGAATTTCAAACATGAGTCCGCTGGCTTGATGCTGCCAATTCTAATGAGCTCCTTCCAATTGTTCCTACATTTCAAACCCAACTTGCAGTGGCCAGGTAGATCTTCAAAACAAGCACCAGACACCCATGACTTACACTGTGACTTACACCCAATGGAATGCATGTGGGGAATAGAGATGGGGCATGCATAGGCAGATCTGCCACCACTTAATTGTTGCAGCTTCATCATATTTTTCAATTGTGAAAAGTAAGCAAAGCAACATATGCTGCCTGTCTTAAGAACCACAACCTCACTATTTTCATCTTTAACTCCATAACATGACAGAGAAAATTGCCATAATAAATATGTGGTCCTATTTATAAGAGAGATCTGAGATACTCAACAGAATGCAAAAAAAAAAACTACTCTTAAAGCAAAGAAAACTTGCAAGAAATGAAGCCTCCCATACTTTGGAATACCAGTAATCTTTGTGGTTTATTCACTCAATCTTTTTTAACTACAAAATAATGGCAACCAAAAAATTTCTACAAGATATAATATAAAAATTTGTGAAACTACAAAAAAAAATCTCAGCTCCTATAGAGCATAGGGCAGAGGCAGAGAGTACATGCCTATACCATGAGAGTAACATATGAAATGGCAAAGAATAATGGACATGGAAAACTGCCATATTGCTTTGCATGGGGTTGGTACTGTAAGATACCAAAAAACGTGTATCACATGATTTGTGAGGGAATGCATTTCCAAGGCACAGGGGGAATCCCTGAAGGTATCTGAAGGACGGAAGGACAGGAGCGATGGACAGTGAAGAAGTTCAATCTGGCGAAGAGGACGGGTCAGGAGAGACAGCACGGGTGGCATGAACTTCCAGCAGGTGATCCTGAAATGCCTTATTCCCACCAAGTGTCCGTCCGCAGAGGGGGCATTTTTGAGCATGCACTGTCTTCACATGTCGATTCAGATGGTCGGTGCGCTTGAACATGCTTTGGCAGTCTGGGCAAGCATACAGTGCCTGGGGATGGGTGCGGTCCCTGTGCCGATAGTAAGCCTTGGTCTCAAGAAACTCCTTGGGACAGAGGGAGCAACGGTACGGAGGACCGACCAGGTCGTCCGGCCCCATTGGATTGCCTAGGGATGATGGGACGGGAGACCAGCTTCTTCCATTCCCATCATGTGATGGACCATCAGCTTCTTCAGGGGAGGTCTGGGCTGTAGCATGGAAAGGGTGGACAAGGATGCCGGGAAGGGGGGAAGGAAAAGGGGATGAACAGAAAAAACAACAAAAATGAACTAAAGACCAACTCAAAATAAAAAAATTATCATAAAATGAAGTGCAGAAAAAAAGGCTGAAACAAGGAGAGTTAAGAAGGGATCTCAGGTGAAAGGGACGGAAAGCTGACTCCAATAATTTTCTTTGCATATATTGAGCCAGGCTCTCCACCTTGTGCTTTTATGAAACATTGAAACACTGGCCATCAGTGTTTAAAAAGACAGAAGTACATGATCATAGTTGGTACACTACATCTCAAGACTAAATTTCAAGTGAGAACCATTCCAGAAGAAAATATTGAATTTTTTCCCTCTTTGTCAAACAAAGTGTAATTTGGATCCAGCTGACTTCATTAATACCAGAGACTCTTCTCATTCCTCTAAGTTCAACACCACATGTACAGGACAGCATTCCCCACAGAAACTTGCTGCTCAAAGACATCATGCAATATACAGTTGTGCAACTTCAACTGATAGGCACCCCAGAAGAATAATTGCTCGTTCACAATGGATGAGCAGTCAGTATTAGTGAAGGGTGCAAATACTGGTTATGGGTTGGTCAAAGTCATTGCCAAGGACAATTGCTGTAAGGAGAAATGTTCCACCATACTAACCATGAGTTGCCAAAAGTGACTTTTTTCTTCTTTTTTAATTATAGATGTACAGTATAAAGGTTTTTATGTCTAGCAGAGAAAGGGAATGACAATTTCTTGAGCAAGGCCCATTTTAATTCCAATTATTCATTTCGCGACTACTCCTGTCCTCTGGTAATAGTCCTTGATGCAAAAACTGCTTAGATATAGGCCATACAGCCAAGCAAGAATGGGAATGCATGGGTCTTATTCCCATGTTTCAAGGTAGACAGATTCAAGTAAGTGAAAGGAACAAAGTCAATCAACAGACTCAACATGGCACTGCTAGTTCAATCCAAGACTTGCTAGATTTCATTCTCTGCATCCTTTAGCAATCAACAGGCTTATTGCAGAATAATTTGGAAAAACTCCATTCCATGCCTGGAAGTCTAATTATTTGCATTGAAATAATATATACAGCTACAAGGGACCACACAAAAACCTGACATGAAGCCAAGAGTATGTTTATAGCACTTGTTCATAAGTCAAGATGCAGGCCTGATCTCAATATTGCAACACCTTTTTGCAATAATGCCATTATGAAGTGTATCACCTTTAGACACATTTGACATCTTCATTCTGCCTTGTTACACTCAACAAATTAATCCTACACTGTCATCTACTCAACTGAATTGGCCTACATGATTTAAGCTCTTACAACTCAACAAATGGAGCTAAATAGACTGAATAATATATGTAATATTTATGTTATGCATACAATATTCCATCTCCCAAAATCAGCACTCAATATACAGGGTGTTTCAAAAGTCATGCAACCCTGTATACAGCATTTTTTTTAGGAACTTGAATTGAGTATTGAGCGAATTGAGAAATGAACAATGAATTTCTGAATGATGTGTTGATAACATTCAGCATTTAGTCTATGTGAAAAATATGGGACCCACAACACCTAATGCAATAGCTGATGTTCCAGTTATATACAGCACTTGTTTACATATAGGGTTGTGTGACTTGAAACACCCTGTAGTAGAATAAGAAAACTGAAAGAACACATTAATCTTCCCTATATTGATATTGTCACTACACTGTTTCTAGATAGAATTCGTACCCCCTATAGGAGCACTTCCATTGACTGCAGGTAGTGACATCTTACAAATGGGTGGTTTCATCTATCACCTGTTGAGGTGGAACCTCAGCAAATGTGTGTTTTCTCCATTCTCCACTATAGGGGGTGGTATGAATTCAAACCAGAAACAGTGTATGTCTTCTACATTGACATAAGTTGTGTAAGTGCTTCCAGTGGTGAATTAATACAACATTCTGAAACTAAATATTTATTTAATTATGACTAAATAACCATATCAGCAACATATGAATCATGCATGTCCTGTCGCATGTCGCAACATGTCCATGATGTTGGAGGGCCTAAAGGTGTACACAATGGATTACAATTGGTTTATTCCATTAGCACATTGGTGACCAATAGGATTTTGATGTTTGCCAAACTTGTGTCAACCAGGTCACCATATTTGCCACATGATACATAATATATGCAATATTAATAAAAAAGAATGTGCAATCTTTTGAAAGATGAAAAAAGATAATTGATGAAGAGCATCAATTCGCCACATGTGGCAAGTGGGGAATGTATTGGACACCATGGCATTAGCACCATCAATTCCAGAAAATATATGTCGTTCTTGGATTACTGACAGTATTTTCTAAAAGCATAGTTACGAGGGCCACTCAATAAGTTATCTACCTGAACATGAAAGGGATGAGCAACAGGCCTGTGCCAGCTGTGACATATCTCGACGGGTCTCGTGAGTGCCCCACCACTATACCAGCTCAGTGGCTCAAGTCCATTCAAAGTGGTAGCGCATTAGATTTCTTTACCCGAGTCTGTGTCATGGATTTGATGAAAGTTGAACATTGTTCAGTGATGAAATTCCTCACCAAAGAAGGGAAAGCACCTAAGGAGATTCATGAACTTCATAAGTTCCTACGAAGTTCATAATCATTCAGCCCTGGACTCGCGTGAAGTAGCAAATCACGCGATTGGATTTCATGAAGTACGTCAGCTACCACTTCAAGGGGAAGAAGCTATAGCTATTATTATGGGTTCCATTATTTCAATATTTTTGCGTTATGAGCTGCAGTTTTCAATTTCCCAGCAGCTCAGCTTCCCACGCACATTCACTAGTTTTATTTCCTGTGACGAAATTTCATTTTACAGGAAATTCTCTGAACTGCCCGATACCCAGTGCTTCTCTGATTTGCAAATTCAGCAACACTGGGGATTAGGCATTCGGCCATGAAAATCTCCTACGATTACGAACCCGCATTTTCTGCGGTTTTGGATCCTTGCGAAGAAATGTTTGAAACACCTCGTGAAGCCATCCATGAATTCTCGCATCCAGTCATTTGGTAATGGTATACCTCATACCATTACCATCAACAATACTTATTGGATCTGGCGCCAAAGTTCCCGACTCTATGCATGCCAACTTCACGGAATTCACACGGTGTCGTCATTTCGTGCGGGAACGAACGTTACAACGAACGTTTACTCCCTCGGCAGGCCTGTGAATTTGGCAACTTTTTAGTTGATCCAACCCTAGATTTTCCATCGCTTAGGAATGATTAGTTTACGACATACTCCGCATGGAATTGAACCATGTGAATATCAAAATTTTCATAAAATTTAGAGTCGTGAATTTTGAAGGTCAATGCAAACATGATGCTAGTCAATACTAACGAAAATAGGCATACATTGCCTTCACGGCTCGCGACATGCGACGCATTTCGGCATTTTCTTTCTCCGTTGAGCGACCTCTGCAAGACTAGGAGAAGCATCGGAGGGCTCTATCTGGGAAAGGCTAATCGCGTGGAGGGCTTTATATGGGAAAAGCTAATTGCATGAAGGGTTTCCGCGCGGGAAGTGCTGGTAAATGCTTTCCCGATTTCCATCTTATACTACTTCTGCTTTGCCGTCGTTTGTTCCTCCTTCGTTGTAACTCGAAAAATATCTGACTGTACTTTCCAGCTCTGCCGGTGTCGAATATGAATCCCATCCAGGAGATATCATCGTACGTTAAATGTCGGATTTCTCTTTGGAAAACCTGACCGCACTCTGCAGCATTTGTGCGACAGAACCAAATTTTTACTCGATTAACCCTACAAAAACAAGCCAAATTTCATGGCCTTGGCTGTTTAACATTAGTTATTTGCGCAATGAGGGGATCTAGAAGAGACCTGAAAGGTCAACAGTTTCTTTTTACCGCCAACACAGGATAGTGAGCGAGAAGCCTCACGTGTCATCGTCGGCCTTGAAGAACCAATCGGCGTCCTGGAAGTGATGCTGGTAGATGTAGCGAAAGGCCTCGCGGGTCTTCTCCCAGAGATGTTCCCTCCCTTCGCCCACGGGAAGGGCAATGGCCGGCAGCGACGAATCTAACCAGTAAAAGGGAGAGTGATGACGGTAACATAAAAGAAGAGATGAATGCACAGCAGAGTCGAGATGAAAATCAGCATCCACAGTGAATAACGGATTGAAGAAAAAACACCTCGAAATCCACGAACCCCTTCCCCAAAAAAGCATAAGTGGAATAAGTGTGTTGAGTTAAAAGGTGACTACATTGAAAAATAATGTGTTATTTTTCACTTCAGATGTTTCTTTCTTATTCAGGTAGATAACTTATTGAGTGACCCTCGTATAACTTTTGCTTCTACATTTTTTCAGCAAAGTGGCATTCATCTTGTAATATTTCAGCCTTGCCTCTTATACCTGCACAAATAAATTTAATATGGGCAGCAGTGCATTCTTTTGTGACCAGGGTACTGGCTGAGTCACCACATTTATGTGCAGGGTGATATTAATTCTCTGCGTGTATCCTGACCCAAATTCTAATAGGCAGAAAATGAAACATTGATTCAAAAATACTTATCTGATTACAATGCACCACAGGGTACACCTACTGTTATAGTATATCCAGCAGCAAAAGACACATTTACTAGAGGGCAAATTGATGAATGGGTAGGGGAAAGCTAGTCAGCCAAAGAGAGGTACATATTTTTGGCCTCCAATGGGTCATTTGAAGGCAAGGGTTTATGACATGCTTCATCGTTGTCAGATGAAGGACAGTAATTTTCAGTTAGCCAAGAAATAGTTTGGGATAGTCTTGTGTGAGCTATGGCATCCATTTTTTGCTTTCGAGTTTTTATCACCTTTATCTTCAGCATAACTTATAATTATTGGCATCATTACCAGCCTGTATAATTTATGCAATTGAATGACAAATTCAACAACCTTTATTTTCATGGAAAAACTCACCATCCAGATGTCGGAGGTGAGATTAAATGGTATTTAATTCTTTAAGACCCAAATAATAAAAATTATGTAAAAACAAATTTTTTTCATTTAACCGTCACCAATGAAACATCAACCAAAAAAAAATTCCAGAAAAGGTCAAAAGGACTCAGAATTCCTACTAGGCCACAAGGCAGTGTATTCCTGTACAGCCCTAAAAAATATGCAGAAAAAATGTGGTACTGCTGAGTCCCACCAGGCCTGAAAGGGTTAATGACCATGGTTCCCCTTTGACCTATTATATCAAAACCACAAGGCTGTCTTTTGAGGTCAGATAAACTATGAGCATTTATTGATTACCATCTATAGTAATAAATGCTTGCAACATGTTAACCTTTTTTGATCACTTCAATATGCTGTAGACCTGATGACTCCAGGTTTCCTGAATTTAATTATTCCTTTACTTGTTGGTATTACAGGCAAAAACCCCATGATATTCATTTGGCGAATATTTTTTAAATGTCAGTCACAGAATGCATATGCAGAAGAGGATATTTCTCACCTGATGAAGGAGTTGGTGGCTGTGGACTGGATTCTTCAACTTCGACCTTAATGATTGTCCTCTCCTCTGAAATAGGCAGCATTAAATGTGCATCAATATCTAGATCCTAAGCAAACACCTCTAATCCCAACATAAGGGAGATCACTCAGCACTAAAAGGGTTAACCAAAATCATGTATTTAAATAGTAGTGAAGAAGGTTGAACTCACCATCAGGGGGGCACTGTTCTTCTGCATCAGCCTAATGTAAGAGGACATCAAGTGTTATAACTAATTCAAGATGAGTCTTTGCAGTCACAGACAGAACAGGTTACGAAAAGCAGAACTACTCACTGAGACAGAGGTGAGAGATCCTGGATCTTGATCCTGGTCTTGGTCGTCTGTACACCGACCAAGAGGGTCTTGCGGGAGTGTCGGGGTCAGGGTCGGAGTCGGGGTTGGGGTCGGGCAAGGCGAGGAAGAGAGGTTGTCTCGGGAACGCGGGATGCGAGGAGGTGGTCGACTCTTCCGTCTCTTTGAAGACGATGTCGGGCTTCGCTCTTCTAATGTCCTCTTCCTTCCTCCTGTTCCATCCTCCTCATCTCTCTCCCCTTCCACTTCCCCATTCACCCTTCTAAAAGCAAGATATTTACTCAGCTATACATCCAGATCCAATCTGATGGAGCAGTGATAGAAAAGTGCAAATCATGGAACTCCCAAGAGAATGGAGCTCTGCTTTGCCACAAATTGTTTCAGGTAACTTTTCATACATGTGGCAATATTCAGTCTGCAGTAATCAACACTTTTACAGTGTGTGTATTCCCAAAGTTTGGTGGCTGTAGCATCCCTCATTTTAGGCATTCTTATTTCTTTTGCTGGCAATGTATTTATCACCTTTTACACCTTCCACAGATATTATTTCTAACCTTTAGCAGACCAATGAATTGCAGTAAATGTAGAATAAGGTTAGGAGTGATTGTCAGTCATATCAGCTTAATGAAAACCACAATCATGGTGTGTGCCCATAGTGGGCACATTCAGCTGAGACCTGGGGTTAAGAATTGAGGTTCATGGTTTTTGGTAGGCTCTGAGTTTATCAAGAGCCATTTATGCTCAGATTAATGATGACAAGAAGTATCACTCTGGAGAGCAATGCCTTTTGAAGCCCCAATGAAAATGTTGAATTTAACCCTCAAGTCATGACTCAGGTCATGAATGCAGAGACTTCACTGAGGAAGCAAACAGTCCTACAGTGAACATCTGGGATACAAAGGCACTGTTATATATGCACAAACTGGAGTTGTAAACTGGGGCCTAATGTCTGTAGGTCTAATTAGTGTCAACACTAATGTACTGAATGTACATAGGTTCATTGGACTATATAGTTCTCTGATTCTTCATGTATTTTACAGCCGTTGGAAAGAACTAGTCAGGTCTAAAGGCTTATGATTCCTTATTCCTTAAGCTCATGGTTTCCAAGAGTAACAGGTCTTAAAAGGAGGAGTTGCTGCAATATTTTTTACTACTCTTTTAACACTTTACATGATTTTTTCTTTTTCCATGAAAAAAATCTGGTAGGTTCCACTCATGTCTTAGAACACAGGTTAGGTGGAAAAAATAAAAATAATTGTAAGCAGTAGGCCCGAAAATGTTATTGTTACTCATTTGCTACAAACAGCATTTTCAACTTTCTAACCCATGCTGCATGGATGCTAGAGGGCTCAGTCGGTCCATCAACATTCATAAATACCTCAGCACAAAAGAGAATATGTAAGAATACAGATGAGCCTGGACCCTGGATTAGCATGAAATTTAACAAAATTAAACATAAAACGTCAATCTGCAATGCAACGAAGCCAGATTGGTTTTAATTTGCTTGCCACCAGGAGTGTATGGCACCTAGCAACCACTTAGTTGCTAGGTATAAGGACTGGACGGTTGCACATCTGCTATGAAAAGATTTCCCTCAGGAGCTCACTACCTGTGCATTCTAAAAATGTTTATTTGGTATGTAGCATATCTGCTACGTTATGCATTAAAGGATTTAATACTCTCATTGCGACTGATTTTCCCATATTATTCTGGCATGCCATATCACATATATGACTGACATGGTGGAATGTTATTAAGAGTATTTAGTGCATTTTTTGAAAAAATCTCTCTTCAACAAGTCCTTCTTAGCTCTGTAAAAATACCTCAGATCAGTAGCCAATCTTGCAAGTGCAATATTTCCATTTGCCTCAATATAAGAATATTTGCTATAAAATAAAGCATAGCAATCTAACCTGAATGTCAATCTCCAAGCCAAAATTGTATGCCAAAGTTATTGAATAAGGTCTCCTTGTTTCAATTAGGTGCAAGTCAAGCAGATATAAAAAAATATTTTGTTCATTCATTTACATTCCATATGTAGGTCTCACAATATTTATTGCATATTTGAGTATCCATGTCATTACACTTTAACCATCATAAGGATTAGATAATAGCATGTCCCTTTCCATGATTCAAGTGAGCTCATTCCATCTCTACAGTGTTTTAGGACTGACTTTTACCTGCCTACCCCCATACCCTGAGTACCATCAATAATGCTCAAAAGTCTCCTCAGAATCACCATTATTGTAAAGGGGTATAGCAATGGTGCAACATCCCCTCCTGAGTGAAAGAAAGCTACTTCACAACTTGGTAGTAGTAATCACAGAAAATCATGAACCATGTGTGAATGAGGCAGGTAAAGGCAATCCAAAAACAAACAGTGTAGGGTCTGATGAAACATTTCCAATAGCTGAGAAAAAGCCCCTGAACTGAAGCATACAACTCATCTTACCCATTGCGTTGTTGAAGCTCAGTCGTGATGCCATCCTGTGACTGTTGACTCTGTGATCCAATGATTTCCTCCAGGGTCAGGTGAGAACGATGATGAGTCGAGTCCTTCGAAGACACGTCGGCCAAGCCTCTCACCTTCAGAGACTCTGCCACTTTAAACAGCCTGTCCAGTGAAGCCTGTGGCACAGATACCTCTCCTCTGTAAATGAAATGTAGAAAAGACTGTGTGAGACTCGTGCTTGCTTGGTCGGATGCTTCTTGTCTCTCGGATCGGGCCTACATGGGAAACAACTGACCGATACATGAAGTCGAGGATCGCCTGCATGTCTCTGAAAGTGACATCCCTAAGGATGACAATGGGATGCTTGTCTGGAGACCTAGATAGGAGCTCTGCAAAATAGGGAGAGCAGGCACATAGGACCATCTTATGTGCTCTCAAGATGTGACCGTCATCGACCGCTAACGTCACGTCCACCAGAGTTTCGCTTCGAAGTTGTTGCTCCAAGATCGAAACGATTGTGGACTGGTGATTGTTCCAGCGCAAGCAAAAAATCTGGTTAGCTGGAATGCCTGACATCTAGGAGCGAAGCAAAAAGGCATCACGACTCATGCCTAGACTATAGTTATGCCTAGGCCTGCTTCGAGAAGGCTTGGGTAAATCTAAGTTAACCTTACACTGCGAAGACTTATATTAAGCGAGACGTAGGTTAAGACTCGAGGGATCGTTAGAGCACGGGACCACGACGGACCGGGACGTGCAGCGCAACGCAGTAGGCAAGCCGATAAGAGGGGGAGGGGAGAGAAGAGGGTGTGCGTGAGTCGGTCAGGTCACCCGGGGGGGAAAGGAAGAAGCCTCTTCCACCCCGATGCTAAGACGGAGACGGCGAACTCCCACTTTCACTCCCCCGCCGCCTCCGTCGTGGAAAACGATCCGGGTTTTCCATCGTCGTCGATTGCTGTGTGCTGAGGCTGGAGGGTGGCGTTCTGTCGATAGGGAAAAAGAGGGCCGAGGCGGATGGGGATCGATCTATCAGGGGAGGGGGATATCGAAGTGTGACGTCATACGGAGGGGGAGGAGAGAGAGAAATCGATCCATCCATTCCGTCCTTCCTTCTTATCCGATTCCCTTCTCCGTAGTCGCCTCCCCCCTATCCCCACCAGACCTCCGTGATAATCGATCAGAACGCACACTCCCCCTGAGGTCGTTTCGTCGAATCCCGATATATACGTGTCTGCTCACTTTTCACGGTTGACGAGAATGCGCCTCGAAGGTGCGAGTTTCCCGTTTCGGCGCACTTTACCGACGAAACTCTGGATATTTTCCCGGAGAATATATATTTGATCACCCACTTTGGATCACTTGATCGCAACCCCATTATCTCACCCATATGCTATCAGTATTTGGAAGTGATCTAAATTATGATAAATGTCTCTGAAATCATATATTGTTGAGGTTCCTGCCATCCAACATTAACGACCGATAGTTCCGAAATTCTCGTTTCTGCGAATCTTATCTATTGTACTACCTAAAAATAACCAAGAACGAAGAGTACGGCCAAGAAGTCCACAACCCTTTAGAAAGAGAGTAAGAATTGTGTGGGATGGCTAAGAATAATCTGTGAAAGAAGCCATTCCAATTCCCACCCATAAGCGTTTGGGAGATTTCAGGGCGCTGAGCCCTCTTAAACTTTGGCAAAATTTATTCCAAATATTCCATGGAAATGGCAATTGCAGAGAACGATTGAATATTTCATGTTTCCGACGGCTACTTGGCCATCCTAGTGAGCTGATCTCAGAATTACGATCTCAGAAAAAAAAAAGAGGAAACTCTGATATACTAAAAATAATTTTAAAAGGGGGGAAGGGGCAGCGAAGGTCGGTTGAAGTAGGCGAGAAGTCACCTGCAGAGGAGCACGGAATACATTGATTGAGAAGAGGGGGAGACGTCGTGGGGTCTTCTTAGCCCCCCCCCCCCCGACCGAAATTCCCAAGCTCCGCCTCTGCCCCCACCTTGGTTTTTTCTTCGTGTCATGGTAATGAGGCGCATTTGCTCTCGCGGGATAGTTCCCAATCGAAGAAGGGAGTTTTTTTTTTCGCCCTCGACCGCGAAAGAATCCATGCAAGTCCGATCCATCGCAATAACACGAGTCTCTGAAAAATGCGCTTTCCACGCGATTCCTTCCCTTTCTCCTTTTTTCCCATGCCATTTGCGATCGTGCGAGGCTATAATTTTGCATGCACAAGGACTCGCAGGCACTATCGTATTTTGTCGGTAGCGCAAATCGAACTCCAAGGAGATCTTTTAAATTCAAAAACTACGATTCCATTGAAACCCTTCCTCATCTCATGGTTCTCCGCGAGACGCATTCGCTCCGATTTTTCCTTTCGTGTTCATGCTCGAGTTTATACTAGCTGGCAGAAAAGGCCAACGAATTGGGTTGCGACAAGGGTTTGAAAGAGCGCATTTTATTGCCACGAGCGTGAACTTTCTTTGTTCCGTCGGTTACACCGACGGAACAAAGGAAGTTGTGCTCCAGTCGCGATCGGAGACGACGTTCACGACCGTCCTCCACCTTCTCGGATGGGGAAACCAACTCGAAGGAGCTCCTACCCCCAACGGACGACGGGATGCCTCCAGAGACGGCGAGGCTTCGCTCATAGGGGATTCGACACACTCCGGTCGAGGGCTACCCGAGGTAATCCTTGGACTCATCGCCCTGACGACTCTTCGAGCTCCGCGTTTTATCAAGGCGGACGTCCCGGAGACGGATTCCTGGCGTTTACGAGGATTCCCTTCGACCGAGGCGAAGTTCTCGCGATATCCTCGCAGCAGCACGTACCGTCAAGCGAAATTCGCTTCTTCGACTCAACTCGCCGTGCGTTACCCCTTCGTCTAGGAGACTTTCTACAGTGACTTGGAACAAATTTAATAACTTCGTGAACTCGTGTGTGACATCGTAACGTAAAACCGAGTCCAGCGACTGATCGCCGAGTGGATTACGCTTGTGGGAAAGGCAAATCGGAACCATTTCGATGCTCTGTCGCCTTGGATGCGATTATTGAGCATGAACGAAGTGCACTCGCTTCGTGGAGCTCCTCGAGCACGGAGAACGAAATTTCGTCCGAATCCTAGACCTATTCGCGCGTTCTGTTCCGTCCGAAACAT